TTTTTTTATACTGGCATGGATAACAGCTTTTTAGACTATAAAAAATAACCGGTATATGACAAAAAAAAAAAAAAAAGTACCACGTGAGGTACTGTTACAGAATAATTGGTTACACCTCCTGTAATAATGAGTGGATCATCTTAACCACCTAGGAATTGGCCTGTAATGATCCAGGGCACTTCTCTACCCAGAGCACCCCTTTTCACTAATAATTATCACTTCTACCCTAACAATAGTACCACCAGTATCTTCGGAGTCCACCGGTATCTATCTCCTCACTACAAAGAATAATTTCTGGTTGGCCTTCTGGCAGGTCAGACTGAAATATAGAGAGTACGCCAACCTTCAAAACAGAGCATCTTTGTGGGAGACGCCATCAGCTCTTTTCAAGATACTCTCACTATGCATCACCTTCCATACCAGAAACTCAAAGAACACTCCTCAAGATAATGGAAAACCTTCAAGTTTCCTGCATCTTGTGGCTTCCCTTTACCCTCAGTTGTCATGAGACATCTAACTCGCCCATCACCATTTCTGTGATCAGCCCTGTAAGGCTCCACTCTTCCTCAGAACCTAAGCAAAGCCCCAACCAACCAAGAGAGAAATTCTGGGTGTGTCAAGGGGAATTTATTATATTCCAGGTGCCATTAAGGTCAGCTGTATTCACTGATCTACCAGTAGAATTAAGGGCTAAAAGATCAGCTGTGGGAGCCTACATTTTAGCTCCAAAATTCAAGGAAGCACATTAAGCTGTGTTGAAGGCAAACCCAAGGAAACTATCTTTATACAACTTTAATTATGGTTTATATTTTTAAACCATTCCACAATTCTTATAAATTGCCTATTTTAATAGCTTCTTAAATCATTGATATGATTTATCATAATTGACTTAAAAAATTCCCTCATCATAATGGAAGTTATTTCTAACTTTTCCTCTATTATAGGACTTCCTATATTACATGATTTCCTCAGTAAACATATTTATACATAAAGAATTTCTTCTTTAAAATTATTTCTTAGTTATAAAATAAGTAAGTCCTGGGTGTACAACATGGTGATAATAATTAAAAATACTATATTATAAAAAAAGATATACTATATTGTATATTTGAAAGTTACTAAGAATAGTTTTTAAAAGTCCCCACAACAACAACAAAAAGGTAACTATATGAGGTGATGAATGTGTTAATTAAGCTTAGTATGGTAATCATTTTGCAATACAGTCATATCTCAAATCATTATGTTGTATACCTGAAACTTACACTATGTTGTATATCAATTTTATCTCAATTAAAAATTTATTTGTTTAGGATAATCCCAGCAGCATGAACCTCTTAGTTAAAGAATATGAATTTTTGGCATTTTTTTAATGGAAATTGCTTAATTCACAATTCAAAGGGCCATACCAAGCCACCATGCATAATCTTTGATGGTCCTTCTATCTCAAGCTTATCCAAACAAATGTTCCTCTAATACAGTGTGGTCGGAGGTATAAATTGGGGCCACTGTTTTAAAAGGCAATTTATGGTGTTTTGGAAAAGTTAAAACATATAATACCCCTGTGACCTTGACACTCCATGGGTTCTTTGAAGTATTGGCATGTCTACCCAAAGGAAAATGAACATGGAATCTCACTGCAGCATTTTTATGCTGGCAAAGAAATGGAAATTAATGTAATTATTCATCAAGTGGAGAATAAATTATGATAAATCAAAATAATGTATACTTATTTCTGTTTTAAAGAAACTATATGCAGGTATTTGCACCTATATACATTTGTAGTGTATAGGAAAAAGTCGGGAGAATATACTGGTAGTGGTAACCTACAGATAGAGAAATTATATGGGGAAGAAGGGGACAGTAGGGTGGTGCTGAAGGAAAAATTGTATACTCCATTTTATAGATTTGCCTCTATTTGGACTGTTTACAACGACCAAATATTCACCCAATACTTTCATAATTAAAATCACTTTTAAAATAAAAGAAAGTGGGACGCCTGGGTGGCTCAGTTGGTTAAGCAGCTGCCTTCGGCTCAGGTCATGATCCCAGTGTCCTGGGATTGAGTCCCACATTGGGCTCCTTGCTCGGCGGGGAGCCTGCTTCTTCCTCTGCCTCTGCCTGCCATTCTGTCTGCCTGTGCTCGCTCTCTCTCCCTCTCTCTCTCTGACAAATAAATAAATAAAATCTTTAAAAATAAATAAATAAATAAATAAAGTACTTGAAATAAGACAAACTTTCAATACTTGAGTGATAAAAACCTATTATTTCCTACCTCTCTCTCTCCTTCTCCTTTTATTTTGTTATCAGTCTAAACAACGCTCAATACTAGCAATACATTCCATGACTAATTTCGCCAATGTCTACTCCCTTACAAATGAGTGAACCTGAATAAACACCGAGTAGAGAATGAATGCTGAGAAAGGAAGTTGAAAAGGTAAAAAGTTAAGAAGAAAGAGACTGAAGAACCACAAATTTTCAAATCATCTGTATTCCAAACCACAAGCATAATAAAAATGCACTTTTATGCATGCTACATTTTCATACTGGCTTTAACTTTTACAGTGGAACAAATGACTTCCTGCATTTAAAAAAAAAAAAAATGTTGGCTATTTATTTAAACCTGCAGGTCTCTCTCCGAATACACTGCTCTACAGAGAATCTGGATCAGAATCACCCGTGGCACAGATCGATTATCGAAAGTCACAATCTTTAGGTACAACTCCATATCTGAAGCTAGAGGGTGGGAATCTGCAGCTTTGGCGTTGACACATGAATCCCAATGTTTAAAGTATACTTTCTTACGCATTCAGAAACACTGGACATCATAGTAGTACACAGGAATGGAGTCATTCCATTATTGAAAAGAAAAAATTGGGGGCTTACGGAAAGGCCGTGAGGTCATACTTTATTTTCTAAAGATTGAGTTTTCTAATCTATACGAAATATAATCTGATTTAGATTTTATATACCATTCAGGCAGGGACTGTTTCTCTCTTTCTCTCTTTTTTTAAACTTTTTTTAAGATTTTATTTATTTGACAGAGAGAAAGACACAGTGAGAGAGGGAACATAAGCAGGGAAAGGGGGAGAGGGAGAAGCAGGCTTCCTGTGGAGCAGGGAGCCCGATTCAGGGCTCAATCCCAGGACCCTGGAATCATGACCTGAGCCAAAGGCAGCCGCCAAGTGCCCCATGTTTCTCTTTTGATCATAACTCTGGGCCCAGCAGCCCATGTCTGGTGCATATTAAGCACGTGGTAAATATTTGTTGAGTTAGTATGGTTTGGGCCAGGGAGATCCTCATGTGACAAGAGAAATTAATTTGGATGAACTAGACGTGCCAGTGGGAGAGAAGAATCTGGGCCTGGGAAAGAGTTAAGATGGATTCCCCACAGGGCTCGGCAACAGGAAGAATGGGTTCTCATGTCAGCCACTTCATATTTGTAAGACTCGTATTCCCATTCTACAACATAAGGGAGCAGATTCTGGAAAACTAACTGCCAAGGAATCATTTAAATTTAGTCTAAAATATTAAAATTCATATTCTAGAGTAGTTTAAACACTCCTTTGATAAATGTCCTTATGCGCTCTCAAGTAAAATTTAATACCGAACAGAGAAAGAAGCACTTCAAAATGTGGATATTACCTTCACCACTGATTTGTCATTCTGTGATTAAGTGTGAAATCACTGGGAAGAGGACAATCCATTTGAAAGCAAAACAAGAATGATAATGAGTAAAGAAGTTAAACATCAGTCTGCAAGTTTTGTCAGTTGTTAATCCAAATGTCTAAATCTGTTTCTTACACAAATTGTTTTTACCTAAAGGTAAAAAGGAATGGCACCTAATTTAGTTATTATTGAATGTGGGGCATAGTAATCAAAAGAAAAAAAAACACGCAAAGTATCTTTTTGAAAAGGTATTCACAACAGTTTGTAGAAAACTCAGAACCACAGGATGGTCAATCACCCAAATACATGTTTTAAAGATCAGAAAGACCTTCCATGCACGGAGACATTAAATATAATATGTGTCCAATTTAGAAAAGAGATCTACTTACTAATAAACATGACTTTCATTTATAGAGCTGCAAATCAGTCTTAACTGTAGCAAGGGGTCATGGAGAGCAGGAACAAACATTAATCTGCATGCCCATCTCCAAAACTCTGGTATATTAGAGGAGGTCAGCAAATGGTTAAATTTGCATGAGAAGCTCCCTAGGCTGAAATGGGAAAAACAATGAAGGGTGCCCTTAGGATTCCAGGAGAAAAGCTCATAAATCCAGAAGAAAACCAAAAGTTACTCTAAACTGAGGGAGGATGGGGTGGCCTGGGAAGGTAGAAAGATGTGGGAGGTCAAGAGACATATCCCTTAGTTCATGTCACCTCTGCCCATCCTCAGGGAGGAGTACTTTCAAGTAATGTGGGGATCGGGGCTCCTTAGTTACCCTTCTGCCCAGTCCATGTTCCAAGCCCTCAATGGAGACAACTACTAAAACCACAAGGCCATCTCCTGGAAATCTTGAAAGAGTGGCATAAAGGGGGGTAAAGAAGTGCATCCCACCATGAAGAACCCAGTTCCAGTGAGCAGCACCAGGTATGCAGGCCAGAGGAGGAAGCTTGGAGGGCAGCAGGCTGTAAACAACCAAAAGCAGAGAAAGCAATAAAATGGTACTTGGCCCTGCCTCAATGCTCTTCAAGGGAGGAAGCGGATTTGGCAAGAGAAGCAGCAGCAGGAAATGTTGGTCCAAGTATGCAGCTAATTTTGGCAGAAGGTGCAGAAGAAGAGACCCTGTGGCAAAGGAGGGCACAGCTGGAAGAGCCTGCATGGAGTCTCACAAGCCAACTCAGCCTCCCTGGGAGTGGGAAACAAACTGACTTAGAATCCCACGACCCAGAGTGGTAGGGTGTCAAGAACCACTATAAAGGTCGCATGTGCCCCAAGCATGCTTAGTAAGACTGGTGTAGCTGGTAACATGGGGCTTATAACAAAAATGTTCACTCACCTTCTTCCGGAGCTGTGGTGCTCTGGACAATTTCATAAAAGTCAAGTGAGGCTTAAAACTCCTGTCTTCTCCTGCCAAGATGCCCTTTTCTTGAAATGTCTTTTTTGCAGCTTCTAAAGAAAATAAAAATACAAAAATGCTACTGTAACACATGGCTATCTTTTATTTTTAAAATGGCAATCCAAAAAATAACAAATTACTTTATAATGAAGATTACTTTATATACCTGTATGAAATACTTTCTAAGAGAGAATAAAACCACACTGTATAGGACAAGATATTATTAAATCTGCAGAAATTTCAAACTTTAAGCACACAAAAGCAACAATTTGAAAAGAAAACATTTAACAAATGTAATAAGTGTTTGTCTGATATGATGCTGATTTTCACTAAATATCTTAGTGGTGTAGAAAAGGACTAGTTTATCTATGACCCATATCTAAAATTTCTACTTCTGACCAAGATGGAATAACAGCAATCAGATTTACCCTCCCCTCTGAAACAATGAAAGGACCAAGTATATAAAATGATGGTTTGTAAGACACTCCACTTATCAGGCAGTGAAGCTCAATGATCCCTTAGAGATGAGAAACAAGGTGAGCCCTTCAACTGCCCAGCTGACATCCTTAGGAGAAGAAACCATCCTCCCTGGGTCGAGTAAAAAGAGCTGAAAGTAGGAGAGGCAAAGGTATCCATAGCTCACGGGCAAGAGTCCTAGAAAAGTGAGACCTGTACAGAGAGAAAATCCCACAGATCTACAAAGGGTTACCCTAGAGTATTCAGCTGAGTATAGACCAGCTCATATATATTAGGAAGCTACCTGAGATGGGGAAATACATTCAAAAGTATTAGAGGGAATGGTGCCCCGTGCTCATACAGGGGCAGGAGAATTGTCTGTTCCCTTGAGCCAAACTTGAAAAACTTTGAGATTTGTGGGAAACTGGGTAGAATGAACAGCAGTGGGGAACTTTTCCCCTCAGCAGTGGGGAAAAATTAGCTTTGAACTGGTACTGTTCTAGTCCCATCTAAAAAATCTTAGAAGCAAGATCCAAAAGGAAAAAAACTGTTTCCAAGTAACTTAATTGTGTCCTGGAACAAAGTCCAAGAATATTTATAGGCATACAAAACTATCCAGACCCAACAAGGTTATTTCACAATGTCTGGCATCTAATCAAAAATGTCCAGGCATGCAAATGAACAGGAAAATATGACCTACAATGAAGAGATAAATCAATTCATCAAAGGGAATGGACACAAATTTAGAGTCAGAAGATAAAAGTATCAAAATAGTTATTATGACTATATTCTTTATGTTCAAAAAGTAGAGACATGCAAGATATAAAAAAGACCCAAATCAAATTTACAGAGATGAAAATTGCAATGTCTAGAGAAAAATACACTGGATAGAATTAATGACAGATTAGACACTGTAGAACAAAAAATTAGTGAACTTGAAGACATAGCAATAGAAACCACCCAAATAAAATATAGAGAGACGTGAAAGAAAGGAAAGGGAAACAAAAGGGAAATGGAAGGGAAAGGGAGATGGCAATGAAGGAAAAGGGAAAGGGAAAAGAAAAGAAAAGAAGGAACATCAGTAAATGTGGGGTAACAGCAAGTTGTCTAATATATGTATAAATTAAGTCCCTAAAAAAGAGGAAGAAGAAGACAGAGGAAATATTTGAAGAAATAATGCCTGCTGGGGAATGAGAGTTGCCACAACCATGACATAAAATAATCTAGGCAATAATTTTTAAAATTTACTTCATAAGTATTTGAACCAGCAAATTCAGTTCTAGGAAAATACACAAAAATAAAATTTTTAACACATAAGATTCTATACAGAAGATATTTATCAATTCTTAAAAACACACAAAGTATAAATAACCTCATCAATATAGAAATGGTCGTTAAATTACCATATGGCATACTAAGGACTACCACAAGAAAAAGAGAGTCACAGCTATACGTATTGACCTGAACAGATGCCCATGGTCTATTAAGCAAAAAAGGCAAGTTGCATGGTTAATATACCAATAATATGATTCCATGGCTTACTTAAAAAAGATAAATTCTCTACGTTTTATTAGCATAAAAATGGTATAAATTACTATAGGATGAGGGTTGACATTGAATAGAGATAGAGAAGATTAGTAACATTTTCTTTACACATCTGTATATTGTTTGAGTGGTTACAATGAGCATGTATTACTTCTGAATAAAAAAAATTTTTTTAATTAAATAAGCAGAATAACGGCCTAGACATTAGCAATATAACATTATTACAAGTGCACAAGCATCATACTAGAATGTAGAATGCACAAGTACAGTTTTCTGCTTTATGTATGAAAAATTCATACTTTTCAAAGATCTTTGGTAAACAACTTCTCATTTGTTCTTTCTACCTCCAAATTAGGTAGGGCTAATACCCAAGTTAATTTTAAAAATAAATAAAACTAAAACATAAAAGTCAATGCTCAAATTCATCCTCTTTGTTAGTAGTAAAGAAGGAACTGGAATGCAGATGCCATCACTTCTACTCTGGTCATGTTTCAAGCTAGCTAAAACCCCAGCTTAAGCCAGGGTCAGAGTAAGGCAGAGCATTCTGTCACCTTCCACCATGCCCACACACATACTGGTTTCAGTCAGAGAAGCTCCCCTCTTTTACACATGAGCTTCTAAATACCTTCCCCTTTTTCTAAAAGAATTCCTATATTTACCCAAAAACAAAGTTCGAAAAATCAGTCCTCAAAAAAACACACAGAGAGGGGTCTCTTCAGTAAAAATAATCCTGCCAACAGTGTCCATTAAAAAATAGAAACTGATGAAATATAAGGTAAAAAATGTCTTTGAATCTAAAATAAAACCACATCTTATCCCAATGTTTAGTGAATTGTTCCTTTTAAATTAATTTATTTCTTATCAATGTTAAATATGCTTTAATGTTTCTAACAATTAAAAATCATGAACCTAGTGGAAGATTATCTAATATTTCCAGAAAACGTGTCCTAAAAAATAAAAGATGTTTTTAATATAATACTAAATACTACAGTCATAAGAATGCTTTAGTTTTAACCACCAATTCTGTTGGAATCTGGAAATTACTAATGATAGATAGAATTATAACCAGAAATACCTGGATAAAAAAAAAACCAAATATATTTCCATCCAGTCTGATAATTTTTTACATAGTGTAAGTATTCAGTTTTTTGGAATGGGAACCCGAAACAAAAAAAGATGTGGGAGTGAACAAAACAAAGATAGAATACTATCCTTTCTCAGAAAAAGAAGGGTTTGCTGTAATGACTGGTCCACACAAAAATAATAAAAATAACAGAGAAGGACAGAGTTTCCAAACAGAAATACCTGCGCAGGAGAAAATTCAAATGGACACATTCTTTTTACCAACAACATAATTATTAGCCACATCAGTAATACCTACCTAGTATGCTGGGCGGCAGGAAGGACAAAAAGCAGGGAAGAGGACCTCACTCCCAGGAGAGGAGCTCCTGGAGAAGACTTGGGAGTTAATGAGCTCAGTACCCACGGGTGTGACTGCACAGGCTTAGCATCTGAGTGTATTCGACGGTATCTGTGCGTATTCAATAGTAGCTGCTTGAATTGTGCATTACCTTTGTGCTAGGTGTTTTAGCAATGCTTGATCATGTACTCCTCCAGATATCCCTAAGGGGTAAGTTATTATTCCCATTTCTAAAAATGAAGAAACTAAGACTCTGAAATGCTAACAGCTTTCTCAAAGATCACTGAGCTAAGTCATGGTGAGGATAGAATTTGAACTCAAATCTACCTGACTACAACATTCATGCTGCCCTCTATGTGAAGAATCGCCAATCTTGGGGGGCGTAACTGACTCAGGTGGAAGATCATGCAACTCTCGATCTCAGGATCATGACTTCAAGCCTCATACTGGTATAGAGATTATTAAAATAAATAAACTTCAAAAAAAAAAAAGAATCTAAAATCTTCTTTCTCCCCTCCAAGTTGGTTGTTTTCGTTTTTGTTTTTGTTTTAAGATTTACACATTTACTTATTTGAGAGAAAAAGCCTGCGTGTGAGCAGGGGAGGGGCAGAGGGAGAGAGAGAAAGACACAGACTCCCCCCTAGTAGCAAGTCCGACCCGGGGCTCAATCCCAGGACACCAAGATCATGGCCTGAGCCGAAGGCAGACGCTTAACCAACTGAGCCACCCAGGCGCCCCTCTAAGAAAATTTCTTAAATAAAAGGGAAAATCTGGTTAGGTTATTTTAAAATTTGTACAGCACTTAGGAACTGCAGTTGACAAACTCAGATCTCATCATCCGTTCATTCATTCGGCAAATAATTGCTGACAGACTACTACTGTCAGGTACTGTTCCAGGTGTGGGAAACATGGCAACGCACAGACGCTGAACGTCTTGCAGAACGTCCACACACGCTGGGGGCCGCAAACAAATACATAAATATATTGTCAGGAATTGATCAGTGATCTGAAGAAAAATAAAGCACACGAAGGAGCTTCAAAGTGATGTGGAAGGAAAGAGTTGCTATGTCAGATATGGTGGTCTGAGAATCCCACTCTGAAGAGATGTTTGAGAAGCTACCCAGCTGAGCGGAGAAGAGGACTCGAGGCAGAAGGAAGAACTTATGAAGAATGTTTAGTAGGTCCAGAAACAGTAAAAAGGACAGGATACCTGGAGTAGGGTGAGTCAGCATTTGGGGAAGAGGCAGAATGGGTTTAGAGAAGTATGCTGGAATATCATGGGGCATGGCAAAACCTGCAGATTTCATTCTCGGTATGGTGGGAAATGCTGACGGTTTTAAGCAAGGGAAATTCATGTGTGAGAGTAACTTTCTTTATTCGTCTATATTTCAGCTAGAATTTACATTTCTTCCTGGTGCATTCAATTGCCTCAGGCAATTCAAAGTGCTCCCCTCTTTCCCTAGGACTGTATCTTAGTTGACGGGGAGGTAGCTAATGGGGTGCACAGTGGTTCAGACGGGAGTGTAGCGCCTGGCTCTTGGGTCACCATCTGGCAACTCCTGAGACATAAGCTGTGCTTGGTTTTTGCAGTTAGACCCTCCCTCATTCCCATATAATGACTCTGCCACTTCT